ATCAGAATATCTTACCTGGGGGTGGGGGTGGATGCTTATAATTAAATGATATTAGGTAATATATGTCACTGCCCTAACTTGCTTTACATCTTGCTATATCCAGTTTAGACTGATTTTTCATTAATTCTATTAATTCCAGTCAAATTTATTTATTTCGATATATTAATTCTGGCAAAATTCATTTGTTTCGCTTAATTCTAGTAAAATTTACCTATTTCATCTTTATCATATTATTTCAGCCTGAATTAAATGATTGATAATAAAATTTCCTTTTTAGGATTTTTGTGATACCTTTGTGCAATACTCATATTTTTTTAGATTTGTGTAATATTACGTGATTGTAATTCTGGCTGGCTTTATGTATTTCGACTTTCATAATTGATTTTGACTTTCATAATTAATTTTGACTCTCGCAATTGATTTCAATCCTTATAATTAATTTTAACTTTTCAAATTTTTAACAAATAGTCAAAATCAATTTCGATCATTTCAACCCTCGTAATTATTTGACTATTTTAATTTCAGTTTCATGTATACTTTAGATCAACGCAGAACTTCAACTATTAATATACAAACAACAGGTTATGAAAAAACAAACTTTATAATTATATTAATTTTTATGGCTAATGGTACAAAACTACCAGCAGTTTGTATTTTCAAACTTAAAAATATTCTAAGAGAATCATTTCCTGAAGGAATTTTTATTTGTGTAAATGAGAAAAGGTGGTGTAATGAACAAGAAATGCTTTAGTGGATTGAGAATATATGTACCAGATGAAATTTATTAGGCAATCCAAGATCTTTATTAGTTTTAGATTCTTTTCGTAAGCATCTTGTAGATTCAATAAAAAATAGATTTAATAAAAAACAAACAAATATTGCAGTTATTTCTGATGAACTAACAAGTAAATTACAACTATTAGATGTGGCTATTAATAAAAGTTTCAAAGCAAACTTACATCAATATTATAATGATTGGATGAGTTGAGCTCTAAAGTTAAAGAATTAACATCTTCTAGAAGAATTAAAAAACCTTTATATGCTACTGTTGCTGGTTGGGTAAAAAGAGCATGAGATAATATTAATATTGATTTGATTAAAAATCATTTAAATGTTGTAATGAAGATAATTTAATATTTGATTATGATATATTAAAAAATAAAACGAAAAAAGCTAGAAAAACAATTTATATTGATGAAGAAGAAGAAAGTCAAAGTGAAGAAGTCAATAATGATAATATAGAATTTGATGATATAAATGAATTTACTGAAGAATTTGATGTATTTTTTTTTGATTTTATTAATTAATAATAATAAATTTGATATTTTCATATTTTACAATTTTATAAAAAAAAATTTTCGATCGATATATTATATATACCCAGGTACAATACAAATTTTCCTGAATTTTTAAAATCCTGATGTATAGTACCCGGGTCTTTTGCATTGAAATTTTGGGGAGGGTACTATACTATAGGGGGTACTTTAGTCAGCTGTTTACGGTAATAATTTTATTTTCATAATTCGAAAATCTTATAAATAATGGAGATTTACATTAATAGCTTTTATTCCTAATTCGAAAAAAAACGCGTCAAATTGTAATTGTTAAAGAGTGCTCAACGTTAAGGATTCCTGAAAAATGTTTTCTCTGAGGAAATATATTTCACATATTGATATTTTAAATATACAAGTTCGCTTGATAAAATCAATTGAATATTTTATTATTAAGGTTTTATTAGTCAATTTGATAATAATGCGTCTTGAATAAAAATATGACGCACGCGTCAAGTATATTTTATTAAATCATTAAATTATTTAAATTGACGTTAAATTTAAAATATATATATTATCTAATGTCCAAATTACTATTCTCCAAACTCATAATTCACAAAATCATATATCTTTTGGAGAATGAAATTTTTCTATAAGCTTTTTTGTTTGTCCATAAACAAAAAATGTCACGGCACTAACAGGAGCAGATTTAATTAAAGCAGGTGTAAGACCTTTATATAAACCAAAAAATCCATCATGTCTTAATATTTGTCTAATACAAACAACAATGGAAGTAGAATATAATGGGACATTTGATATAACATAATTTGTTCTATTTGGACCTTGTACTTGTAATCTTTTCCTTATTAAATCGAGTGGAAATACACCAGCTTTGCTCACTATTCCCGAAGTTGCTCCGCTGAGTAAATCTTCTGCACCTCTTAAATTATGAAACCAAATATTCTTATCCTGGTTTTATAAAAAGCGGTAATAAAAAATTTGTCAAAAAAAAAAAAAATTTGCTCGAAGTTCAACATTCTTAATTTACCTCCATCTTTCTAAATGATTTCTTTAAGAATTCATAACTTCCAAACATTAATCCCATATAAGGAATAATTTGGACAACCGACGCAGTAACTCCTCTATAGAACCCACTATATCCCTCTTTTGTATAAATTTGCTGTACCGCATGATTTAATCCTGTATATGTCTATAATACAAAATTTCTTTTTTTTAAAAAAAAAATATATATATATGGAATTGAATAATTTCCATTTTCTCTCATAATTTAAAAAATTTGACATTACCCTCTTTTCACCCTGTGCTGCTAAACGTGTCCTTAACAGATCGAAAGGATATGTAACGACAGTTGCAGTTGTTCCACATATAGCTCCACTGAAAAACGGTTGTAATGTTACATTTATGATAGGTTTCCCATGTTCGTTCAGATAAAAATGGTTGAAAAAATTTTGCATTCGTTGATAAGTTAAAAATTGAATAGCACCGTATGTCAAATATAAATATTCTGCAGCAAGATTACCCTTCCATAATCCCTACAAACAATTAGAATTTAGATTAAACATTTAGAAAAAATAAAAATTTAATAAAAAATATAGCCAATTTACCTGAATGCCTTCTTCTCGAACAATTAATTTAATTGCGTGAAACATTCCATTATACTTCCTTGCAACACTGTTAGAATTATAAGTAGACTGGTTTGACAATTTTCCTAACATTATAGGATTGATTGGTCTTCCCGGTTGAAGCTAATAATTAATTGCACTTAGAAAGCTATCCATGGAAAAAAAAATTAAATTAAACGTACCTGTAAACGAATTTTCACAACATCTAATGGAGAAGCAACAAATCTATCAATATCATAGTAAAAGTAAATAATCAATAGGTTAAATATAATGTACATTGCCTTTGAATCACAAATGTTAATTGACATACCTCGATACCATTCCCGCAACTGCTCCGCAAATGGTTGTTTCTACCGAAGAAAGTGCTGAAACGACATTCTGTTCGGTTATCGGCTGTTGTTTATGTTCTTGAGCATTATGATTATGACCTTTTCCGAGGTCTGTTGATGTTTTAGCCAAAGCTAAAATTAAAAAATTTTCTTTATAAATTTATTAAATGAATCGATGTTTATACCTTGACTCGTCATGATTTAATTATAATACAAGACGTGTCAGAAAATAAAAAAAAATTAAAAAGGGAGAATTAAAATACCAATTAACGGTATTACGATAATTTTAATAGCGTAATAAATGACACGTGACAATGATTAATATTTGCATCACGGATGGGTTAATTAAGATTTATTTTTTTTGTATCACTATAATCCTTAAATAGAACTTTGTAAAAAAGTTTTCTACTAGTCTAATCACTGTATTGCAACAAGATAATTTTTATTTTTTATAATAACCATTACAAGTTTTGGAGTGTAGTCCATATCTATTATATCCTAATTATTGATTCATACTTCACATTTATACCTTTTTTGTTTGCTTTCTCACTAACTTGTTCTGAATTTTTTCTTTTTCGATTTCTGTGTGCACGTGAATGTGCAAGTGAGATATTATTTGTGTGTTCACAAATAGTATTCAACGTCATCTGAAATGAGATGAACATAATAGTGAATTGCTAAATATTATTAACAATAACAATGATAAGCATAGTATAATACCTGCAAATCCGTAAATAGTACATAAAAACTTTCGAGAATTGATAGTGTTTTTAAAGTGTTAGGCATCCTTGCATGGTTTAGTATTCCAAGCCGTAGCAAATTCGTTGCTTTACAATCCATTCCATATATTTCATGAACCCACCCTTAGCAAGGAATAAAGAAAAATATTAGTCATTACAATTTCTAAAATTTCATTACTACAATTGTCCTCTGCTTAATTACCCCACGAATGTATTCCAAGAACATAAGTGCTATGAACATCAGATCCAGGTGCTTTTGAATTTTCTTTAATAAATATATATAAAACGTCTCGCATTGCTACACAAAGATCGATTTTATCTACGTAAATTTTTTTTTGATGAGATTCTGGGAGTCCACCGCTTCTGAGACCTATTAAAGCCTCAAGCCTATTTATACTCCTATTTAAGATTCCTCTAAAATCGCACTATTGTCCAGTACGAGCTTTGAGAACAACAGAACGACCTTCGTTTCGACGATGAGTCGAGGCCCAACAAGCTATTTCCCCACTATAATTATAAGAAATGCGGAAAAAGTTTGAATGAGATCAGACTTGCCATATTTCTTGTCTATACTTACACATCCATCCTTAGTTGTTTTTTATCTAAAAATCGCTTCGCAAACATATTTGGAAAGGAAGTGTCGAAGTCCGCCTCAGAAACAGGAGGTTCAATTCTTTCCAGATTCTCGCAATTCTGAGATTCTGCGTATAATGTCATAAGTAGATTCACTCTAAAAAAAAAGATAACAAAAAGTGGATAAATGATAATGGGTAAGCATATGAACTCTTGAGGAGCACTTACAGTTAAAGTTTCATATCGATCTTTTACTTCTTGGAGTAGAATAACTATGTGTGCAAGAATTGGCCGTAAAAAAAAAGATGTTAAGTAATTAATAATAAATATTACATATATTGTTTCACTTACTATGTAACGACAGCACGTCTTAAAATACTAATGATAACTTTTTCCGCGTCGCTAAGCTTTACGTTTTGATTCTTTTCGATGATATCTGGAGTTAGACTATCGATCGTATTGACTATATCTTTTTCATCTTTTTTTGTGGCCTAAAATTGTATGAATCAGAGAAATATTTTGAAAGTGCAATAACAAGATAAATATTTTCTTTTCACTTACCTTTTCAACTTCTTCAAAAAAATACACAACTACATCCGAAATATCCGATTCGACCAATTATTGAAGCTTCCAATCATTCTTCCCAGTCATTCATCGAAAAGAGATATTTCACTTGGGAATTATCACTCAAGTCGAGGATATTCCAATATGCGAGACTATAAATGAAAAAAAAGTTCTGTAACGGAATCATCATTAACATCTATATTGTTCATGACCTCTTGCAATTCAATAAACTTGCTTCACGCATTTCTGTGCTTCGGGAATCGACTTGACGTAATTTTCCAATTTTTCTCCAACATTTGTACCGCTACTGAGGATCCATGACTGATGACAAGTCAATGGGCATTCTTCTATGCGCTCTAGAAATCCACTGTCACTAACATCGGTGTTACCATTATCATCATCCCTCTTGCCCATGAAAAATCGTCAACTTCATCTCGTTCCTCTTCACTCGAATCAAGATCAGAATATGGTTCTTCATGATGTTCTCCAGTTCCTTTTGTATTCTATAGTAAAAATTTATAAAAATTTAAGCATACCCATTGCAACCCCTTTAATAGTTTTGGAAGAGTATGATTTACCTCGTTTATTGCTAACGTGTTAATTTCCTTAAGGAGAGCGATATTCGTACGGCGGACAGATCGGCGAATTAAAATCTGTTTACGAATTTTTATCAACGTCAAATCAAACTATCTAAAGTAAGTAAGTAAAATAACTGAACATACTGCTGCTTTTTCTTGCATCCACGTATCCCAATCCTTTAGTATCCTCGCTTCCTATTAAGAAGGGAGAGTTAGAAATAATTTTTTACAGTATGACAAAAGCACCTTAAAAGAATACCATCCATATACATACATCTATTGTTTCTTTCATTTTTTTGAGTTTATCCTTCACTTCCTGATTATCAGCTTCATTAAAAGCCAAATTATGTATATTTCGATATTTTTCAGTTGCTCGGTTGGAAATATATTTCGAAAGAATGAAATCGGGGATGGATCGGGACAATCTAACATCCAGTTGATATTGGCTTTTTTTCGAGTTATATTCTTAGACATTATCAACCTAGAGTAAAGTGAATATAATTAAGTATCTTGTTGAATAAAGGAATTAAGTAATCGTTAAAAAATGGGTTGTCATTCATGTAAGGCCGGCCACCGACTTGATGATGACTCGCCATTGCTGGCTTCCGACAGACTCCCTCTATC